AGAATAAGGAAGAACAAAAGAAAAAAAAGTTAGAATTCAATGACAGATTTAAAATTCAACGAAATGAACCAATTTCCAGGATACAGAAATGGATTTTTTTTTTTAAAGGAACAGTCTATATACCAAAACACTACTGGCATGAATTTAAGACTATCTTCTGTGCAATTATACTGGAAGAAAATCTGGCAGAAATATTGGAAAGCTAGCTGACTGGGGAGATGGTTGGTACAAATAAACAACAAACAAAAACCCTCCAATGTATCTTACATTGGACAACTATTCTAAGAACAAAGAAATAAAAAATTAGCAACGTCTAGTTTAAACTCAAGAGTTTTCCTGTAATGGGGACACTGACTACTAAGAGAAGGGAACCACACCAAGTGTTTTCTATTCTTTGGCATAAATAAACTGCTTTGGCTTAGAGAAATAAAAGTTTAAAAGATGAAAATTTAAAACTCTGTTTCAAGTACAATATGTAATCAGAATAAGCCTGAAATTGTTCAGAGAGGCTGATCTCATAGAGTGATGAAAAGTAAACAGTCACAAGAGCAACACTGATTCAATGCATTACTCCAAATAAGGCAATTTCTATGTGAGAGCAAAGCCCTAAGAGCACAGAAGATGGAATGAGAGAATCATACACAGATAGTGACTGTAATTTCAAAATGGGGGTGGGAGGCAGGGAGAGAATTTTTTTTTTTTAATCAGGAAAAAAAATAAAACATGAAATATTAAGAGAATTAGACTTTTGCCTAATAATGATAGTAAAAATGAATAAGCCGCATAGTAAGCATGGGTTAAGAATACAAAGACATGAGGTTTATTTCATAGGACTCTTAACTCCATCATCAAAAGGCAGATGCCCTTGGGGTAGTGGCAGTTTGTCTCTACAAAGCAGACCTCAGAGGAAAGTTTCTCTGGCACCCAGACACCTCAACAAACAGTAGCAAGAGAAATCAAAGGGGAAGGAAGCAGTCCAGAGAAGGCTGTTTTTCACTCCATGCGCACCAAGTGATGGCAGGTCTCTACATCCTTAGCTTCTCTACCTTTTACACCCTTCATCCTTTCACTCAGCATACAAGTTCATCAAGAGGCAGAATTCACAAAATATGTATGAAACAGATTTAGAGATGTACAACTTTTAACTCAGAAAGCATCTTTAGCAAGCATACAAAAGTCTCAATGTATTCATTAAAGTTTATATGGTAAACCTTGAGTGACTAAAATTTGCAGGGAACATAGTATGTGGAGTTCTGCTTAAACCAAACTTCACACCTGAATCTCTGAAGAAGAAAATTTGCAAAAACTTTTTAGTAAGTTTCATTAAAGTTACTTGTTAATTCTAGATTTTATATGATGTATTTTTATATAGAAAATTTACTTCACAGTTGTGGAATTATGCAAAAGGTTATATTTAAATCTCTTCAAAATCCAATCTCTATGCCAGAGAATAAAAGCTTTTATCCTAGTGACTTCCCCGGCAGTCCAGTGGTTAAGAACCTGCCTTCCAATGCAGGGGACACGGGTTCCATCCCTGGTCGGGGAACTAAGATCCCACATGCTGCGGGGCGACTAAGCCTGCGCGCCACAACTACTGAGTTCCGGTGCGTCAACTAGAGAGCCTGCGTGCTGCAAACTACAGAGCCCACGTGCTCTGGAGCCTGAGTGCCACAACCAGAGAGAAGCCTGCCCGGTGCAGCAAAGAGCCCACGCGCGCAACGGAAGATCCCACGTGCCGCAACTTGATGCTGCCATAAATGAATGAATGAATGAATGAATAAATATTTTTTTTAAAAAAGCTTTTATCCATGGGCTTCCCTGGTGGCGCAGTGGTTGAGAGTCCGCCTGCCAATGCAGGGGACATGGGTTCGTGCCCTGGTCCAGGAGGATCCCACATGCCGCAGAGCGGCTGGGCCCGTGAGCCATGGCCGCTGAGCCTGCGCGTCCAGAGCCTGTGCTCCGCAATGGGGGAGGCCCCAACAGGGAGGGGCCCGCATCCCCCAAAAAAAAAAAAAAAAAAAAAAAAAAAAAAAAGCTTTTATCCTAAAAGAGAATTAAAAGGAACAGTCTGTTTTACCATAAAAGGAAAACAAAGTGAAATGTGTTCCGACCCATTTAATTTCTTCAAAATCACCTTATAAATGGAGAGAGCCAACAACCAAATTGTCCTCTTATGGAGTCATACACATAAACTGAAAAAAAAAATCTGTGAATATATTTAAAATAGGCATGATGAGACTTCCCTGGTGGCGCAGTGGTTAAGAATCCGCCTGCCAATGCAGAGGACACGGGTTTGAGCCATGGTCCAGGAAGATCGCACATGCTGTGGAGCAACTAAGCCCACACGCCACAACTACTGAGTCTGCGCTCCAGAGCCCACATGCCTGGGGCCCATGCTCCGTAACAAGAGAAGCCACTGCAATGAGAAGCCCTCGCACCGCAACGAAGAGTAGCCCCCGCTCCCCACAACTAGAGAAAGCCGGTGCACAGCAATGAAGACCCAACGCGGCCAAAAATAAATAAATAAATAAATAAATTTTAAAAATAAAAAAATAATAAAATAGGCATGATGACTCCTATGGAAGTGAACTACTTGCTTTCTAATTTTTAAAACACCAAGTGAATTTACACTATACAAGCACAGTAAATAATGAGAGCTAGGTACTTAATATTTGCTTTTTAAAAGACGAAACAAAAATATGAAGTATTACTGCTCACAGAATATACACTTCATTGTCAAGATCATAAAGCAGTTCAAGATGCCTATGAATGAAAATTATGGCAAAAAAGTTTATGTGTGCTTGTCAAAAAATAATCCAAAACTGTTTCAAAAGTTCACTTGAGTAAGATTTTTGCTGAATTTGCCTAGCTTGCCACAATACTTATTATTAAGCACGACAATTTCCATAATGGCACCTTGTCATCGAACAATAAAAATGTCATAAAATAATGAAAACGAGAACAAATCAAACCAGAGGTAACCCTTACTACGCCGGCTCCAGCTATCCAAATTTAAGGAGCCAAACAGATTTGGAAAATTTGAGATACAACTCTTGCTACTTGCCACCAAAACTCAGGAACCAAACAGATTCAGATAACAAGCTATATCCCTAGCTACCTGAATTTACAATCCAAACTTCCACTATTTATACTTAAGAACCCAGTGGATTCAGACATCTAGGAATGCTTATATTTTATTTTTTCTGTTCTTTGGTTCACTCTTTGTCCAAAAAAACAGGGTTTTATATTCTCATTTCCCCTTTGTGTATCACATTTAGCACTTACCCATGCCATTACGTAGTCCTTGTAAACATTATTTTATTGGCTAATATCCTCACTGAGAGGATTGCTGTAATTTATATAACTTCTGCTCAATCTCTGAATGTTTATTTGCCCCCATAACTATGACCCAATAAAAATCTCCAAACATCTTTTTCTTTATTTAAAACAAACATTGCTCTGTGTTAAAACTACAGCTAAACAGTTTACACATTTTATAATAATACTTTAAATGATTTTTGCAAACTGTAACTTAGTAAAACATTATTTTGATAGTTCTCTGTTCTTATTTCTTTAGGCTCAAAATATAAATCCCAAAAGCTCAAAATAAAAATAACTTATTTTAAAATGGTTACATAACTAAGCATAAAACCCTTCTCCTAAAGATTTATATTTTAGGTTACATATTCTACTTCTAGTTGGTTTCAGTGGGTACCAATTATTTTGCCCCAATCCCTGCATCTGCTGCCTGTAAAAATGAGATTTAGTAACCAGAAGGTAACAAAAAGATGCACTAATCTTTGCTTTATGAAAAAACTGTTAAAGAACAAAGAAATGTGCCATATTTATTAAACAATTTGGCTCAAAGTAATATTAAACTTACATTCAACATTATAGTCTCTAAAATGGACAAAAACAGAAGTTCTTCTAAAACTACTAAATGAAATTCCATGTTTCCTTAAAGCATCTCTAAGGAGTATAACATGTGATCTGTTGAGTTTGTGCCTGCTATAACTACCAGGTGTGACCCTCACGATCCACGAATGCTCTTGAGATTGGCAGGGTGGGAGCAAAGGGTGGAACAGTAACCACACATGCATGCACACCCATAAAATGAACTCATGAGCATAAATACTTGGAAAACCACTCATTTCAAAGAGAGAGCAAACAGGAAGAAAAAAATGCCTGACAAAATGTGTGCCTGATAGGAGAAAGTATAGATTTCATCAATGAATCTTTACTACACATAGTGACCTTTAATTGTTACTAAGAAACTAAGAGAATAACACAACCTTGTGATTGTTACAGATTTAAGCAGTCACATGATTTTCAAGTAAGATGGAATACACAATTCTTTTGTTCAGAATTCAGCATGCAGAATTCTTTTGTTCTAAATCACCTCAAAAGCCAACCTGTCTATCTTTTACATATTATTAAAATTAGCCTTGTACAACTTCCCCAGGGTAGGTAGTGGATGTCACACTGTAGGACAATCTATTACTATTTCTTCTCTAGAAAGCTCTTGCTACCCTAAGGGCTATAGCTCCAGAACGGAGTGTCCAAACGAAATCACTATTTTTGTGACTTCATTTAATCATTTAAGATATTTATCTAAGAATCTCAAAATCCAAACCTGTGATAGAACTAGAACTTAAGTAAAACAGGTTAATGTTATTACTATCTCCTAAGTATCCAGACAGAGGTCTTGTTGCTTGACATTCTATTTTATTCCCTACTCAGTAATGCTTTTTACTTAAAAAGCTTGAAACTGCCTCTTTTTTGTGGGCAATATGAAATGCTCACCTCCATCGTGAAGGCAAATACAAGAGAAACATTTTTCTCAAAAGACAGAAACAGTATGAAAAGAACCACTGCTGTCTGAAGATGGCCTTTGTGCACTTCTACCATAACAAACACGTTGAGATGTTAATTATTCCTCTCATTTTTCAATTTAGACCCTGACTTCATTAAAATCAATGTGAAAAATACTCTGTACTCACTCTGGCATTCTATGAATTGATGAATAAAAGTGCAGTCCCCGCCACTCTTTGAAAGCAAGTGCTCTAATAAAGAAAGAAACACCTTTAAGGATACAGTTTTTGTTGCTGTTTTTGAAAACCAACAGCAAAGGTAGGAAAACCAAAATGTATTAACATGGGTAACTGAATAAGATTAATAAAAGTTTAATATATTTTAATACTAAAAGCAGACATATTTTGGAGTTAAAGTTAAATGACTGAAAATTATAATTATATAATCTTAATCTGTACCCCAAACGGTTAGCTTTTAAAGGTGCAGTTTCTATCCAAATAGCTCAAGAAAACCATAGAAATATATTGCTTTAAAAAGCTTCTCCCACTTTTAAAATATATCTTTTTTGTGAGAGCTTAACAAACACCCTTAAATAATTTAAAAATTTTATATTTGTTCTTACTGAATTAATTTTCAAATGACTGTTCTCCAACAGTCCCCCTTCAAAGATATTCATCTTAGTTAAGAGGCAAACAGTAAATATTTTAAGAATACCATAAAATGCCTTAAAATTTTTAAGAAACTGATATAATATTTTAATTTTTACACTTTCATTTCACTAGTAGTCTTTCCCCTTGAGTCACTTAATCTATACTTCATACACTATCAAATCATTACATTGTTATCTCTGCCTAAATGATTAAAATCAATGCCCGTACATTTTAAAATAAGAGCTTGGTAAATGGTTTCGCTCAGGTCAAACATTTTTTTTTTCAAATAAGTAAAGAGGATCAAAACCTAACACAGTAGTTTAATAAATGTTTCAGCCCTTTTCTTACAATAAGCTTTATTTACTTTGATTCAAAGAGTTAACTTCTAAATCTGGACAATATCCTTCAAGTACATATTTGTATCTTTCAAAACTACCAAACAGACATTGGAAGTTCAAGTGTTAAAAATATAATCCAACATGATGAGTATCTAGAAGGTGTAAACACACAAAAACCTGTCAAAGAGGACGAGTCAGTACCACTCTGACTGTAAAAGCTTCTTTTATCTTCCACCTGGCCTCACCCCTCATCATTCCAACTTTGCTTAAGAGGCAGGCATCTTCCTACTCTGACGGCTGGACAACCTCTCTTGACACCCTTACTAATGGTCTTCTTCTTTACCTTCATATTCAAATCTCTCATTATCCTTTATCTACTTACATGGTATGCCGATATATATTTCTATATAAATACACATACACAGTTATATACAGTTGTAACTACATATAACACATACATATATATATAACTACATACAGTTATACAGAAATGCAATGAAAAAGAGAAAAAAAAGGCTAACTGCAATAGAAATTAGAAATTTAAAAAAAAATCTAATAAATAGCATTTGCCAATTGCAGCCAAGAAATCCAAAACAGGAGTCTTCAGTTGAATAGTAATTACCAAAATAAAAAGTTGTTTACATAAATCCTATGTAAGCTATATAACATTTTCAAAACTCAAACTGTACAATAGCACTGTTAAATATGAAAACTCAGTAAATCCAAATTTTAGCCTAACTAAAGGACTTTATAAAATATATTTAAAAAAATATATATTTGAAATCAAATTTCAGAGAAGCATCACAAGACTTCAGATGAAATTTATTAATGCACGACATCCCACCATCACATACCAAGCCAAAAATCAAACTTTTTACCTACTCTGATTTTACTATCTGGACTCGACATTAAAATATCTACTATACTAGTTTGGATAAAATGCAAGATTAATATAAAAAGATAAATATACATGGGACTTTCACAAAGGTTATTTCCTAAGATACATGAGAGAGAAGTCTTTCAGGTAGTACATGTAAAGGATTTGGATCATGACACTTTTAACACTTCATTACTTGAATTCAGGCCCTTGGGAATTTCACTTTGCAAAAAACTATAAAAGATGCCACTGATAATCCAAACCAAGAATCAAGAATCAGATACTGAAAGTGCTGGGGCAGGGGACGGGGTATGTCCTGTGCTACTAAATAGAGCTATAGGAATGTAAAGAAAAAGCAGATACAGAAACATAACAGAGAATCATGACACTTAAAATGTGTTTTATTTACAGATGAGTTACCTATGGGTTTTGATTTTTTATACCTGTGTTGTCCAATACAGTAGCCATTAGCCACATGTGGCCACTGAGCCCTTAAAAAGTTGCTAGTTTGAATTGAGATGTGTTGTCAGTGTAAATTAAATATATACTGATTTCAAAGACTTACTAAGGAAAAAAGAATGTGAAATCCTCATATGCAATCTTTTAATACTGATTACATATTGAAATAATATTTTGGATATAGTGGGTTAAAGTAAATATATTATTAAATACATTATTAAAAATTTACCTATTTCTTTTTATAATTTTAATGTGGCTACCAGAAAATTTTAAATTATGTATGTGGCTCTCAGAATAGTTCTATTAGACAGAGCTTTTCTATACCTTCTAAGATATATTTAAAATATGTTTATAACATTTTAAAAATTACAGTACAAAACTGTGCTTATAGCAGCTACTTTAGATTTAAGTCATCTCAAAAATGGGATTTAGTGGAGAAGTATTATTAATCTTAATTTCTCCAGACATTTTTGAAATATTCTCTTACAACCATACTTGGTTCTCGCTCTATTTAAAGAGTAATTTTAGTTAAAATCATATCTGATAGCACATTATGATTGTGGACTTTGGCAGTATTTGAATACTTGATAATTGGTTTCTTACTATATCATAAATGATTCAGAATAGACCCATCTTATTCCAAAATCCACTTTGTAACTAAACCCAGTGTATGAATCTTGTGTGCATATCCAGATATTTACTACTCAGTTTCTTCAAAGACATTCTATTAGTCACTCTCACACTACTCAATTTAGCACTACCAAAAAAACAAATACCAGCAAGGGAAAAATAATCATAGCAAGGAGCACCCTAAAGTGTCTGAAATATCTTATTCAGTGTTTTTTTTTTTTTTTTTTTTTTTTTTTGCTGTATGCGGGCCTCTCACTGCTGTGGCCTCTCCCGTTGCGGAGCACAGACTCCGGACGCGCAGGCCCAGCGGCCATGGCTCACGGGCCCAGCCGCTCCGCGGCATGTGGGATCTTCCCAGACCGGGCACGAACCCGTGTCCCCTGCATCGGCAGGCGGACTCTCAACCACTGCGCCACCAGGGAAGCCCTTATTCAGTGTTTTTTGGGGGTGGGGTCTGCATTGGGTCTTTGTTGCTGCCCTCGGGTTTTCTCTAGTTGCAGTGAGCGGGAGCTACTCTTCGTTGCAGTGCACAGGTTTCTCATCGCAGTGGCTTCTCTTGTGGAGCATGGGCTCTAGGCATGGGCTTCAGTAGTTGCAGCACGTGGGCTCAGTAGTTGTGGCGCATGGGTTTAGTTGCTCCGTGGCACGTGGGATCTTCCAGGACCAGGGATCTAATCCGTGTCCCCTGTATTTATTGGCAGGCAGATTTTTAACCTCTGCACCACCAGGGAAGTCCCCTCATTCAGTTTTAAATCAAGGAGCTGTCTACAACTATTCTCATCTAAATCAACTGGAATTGGCAAAAAATTTTAAGCAGTAATTTGACAATTCTAAATAGTATAAAGATGGTTCAATGTATATAAAAAGATTCTTTTTTTAAAAAAATAAATATAGTTATTATTTATTTTTGGCTGCGTTGGGTCTTTGTTGCCACGCAGGCTTTCTCTAGTTGCCGTGAGCGGGGGCTACTCTTCATTGTGGTGCGCAGGCTTCTCATTGTGGTGGCTTCTCTTGTTGTGGAGCACAGGATCTAGGAGCACGGGCTTAGTTGCTCCGCGGCATGTGGGATCTTCCCGGGTCAGGGCTCAAGCCTGTGTCCCCTGCATTGGCAGGCGGATTCTCTTAACCACTGCACCACCAGGGAAGTCCCCTTATTCAGTTTTAAATCAAGGAGCTGTCTACAACTATTCTCATCTAAATCAACTGGAATTGGCAGAAATTTTTAAGCAGTAATTTGACAATTCTAAATAGTATAAAGATGGGTCAGTGTATATAAAAAGATTCTTAACTGAAGGAACAGAATGTTCCCAGCTCGAGTTAACACTAACATTATCCATGAATACATGCTCAAGTCAAAAGGGTGATGGATTTGAATAAGAAGTGTACATGCCAGAAAGAGAAAAAAGGGCAAAATAATGACAACAGAAAATATAAATTCATTTAAGAATGAGAAGCTTTTAGACGATGAGGATTAAGTCTTTTTACATGTTTGCTAAATATACTTTAGTAATAGTGGTGCCATGAATATAAACTACACCTTTAAAAAGTCTCAAATTGAAACTCAAACTGAAATTTTAAAATGTCAATGTATTTTCACAAAACATACATAAAATAGTCAAATAACAATGATTAATGAAACATTTTTAAAATTTAGAGTTTCAAGATTTGTTATATACAGAGTATTTAGCTCTTGATCTTGCAGCTCACATATACATGATTACCTGAGCCTATTATGCCAGTTCTTGATTAAAATCCAACCAACCAAACCAAATCAAAACAAACCAAAAAAGCACCTCCTAACTTTATCAGAGTTTGGTTGCTGCCCAAGAACTATAAAGATATCCCCTGATACATGGAAAAAGCATTTAGTAAGAAATTCTTGGGTGTCGACATTGATGTCTTCCACCAACTTCTGTATAAAAACTGAGTTGAGAGGCACAAAGATTTGTAAACACAGAAAACAGTTTTATTCATTTTGTACTCTAAGCAACCAATACAGGATTTGGCATATAGTTGGTGCTCAATTAATGTTGGGTGAATGGGGTGGGTAGGAGGAATCTTAATGACTGAAGGAATATAGAAACCATTGAGTAGAAACCCCACGTTGCACTAAGAAAACCAACAGAGGCTGTACATTTTTGGCAAGAGATAACCCAAGCTATCCAGAAAGAAGGGTCATGTATCAAGAACAAATAAAGAATTTTTCAGATGGCAGAAATGACTGACCCTGTTATCTCTGATTGATGAAACAGATGGATAAAGAGAGCAATTTCTATGACACATCCAAAGGCTCACTGGCCTCTGAAGTAAACTCCTGGCCAGGAAGGGGCCAGGGGGCAGGGGGTGCACAAACATTAAAAAATGGCGGTCAATTACCCCCAGGAAGCGGTATTTGATGGAAGAAAATGGTAGTATCGTCTTTGAAAATACAGTGGGGGAAAAAAGCTATACTATGTTATATAAGCCAGTACTAAAGTTGAACATTATCATTTCCTTGTTATTTGAATAATTGAAATTTCCATATAACAAGGGATATCTAACCATAGATCACAGAATTAAGAATTACAAAATAAAGGGAAGCTTGATTTTTACAAGATGGGATTTAATAGTCAATGAGCAGCATGCTTTTCATTCCAAACACTTAAAACCTAAAAACCCTGACTTCTCTATCCTGCTTAAATAGTAAAAGGATATCATGAAAGAAAAACATTTAAGTTTTTTACACTACCTTTTTCTGTGCTCCCATTTATTTTAGGTAAGAAGTCATCAACTTGTGTCCCTAGGATTAAGACAGTGTATCATTGCCTGATCAAAGAAAGTAATATTTAAAACTGGTCTCAAGTGTAACCATGGCATTTTGTATCCCTACTTACATTAAGACTGATAGAACACTTTAAATTTATTTTTACAAGAAGGGTTCAACTTCCCATTTTCTATCATCTCAGAGAAAACCTACAACTGCTTAGTAAGCTGCCAGTGAACCTCAAAAGAAAAAGGATCCTGCTGCTGATGTGTTTTTCTTATTTAAATATCTCTAAGCAGACCGTCTCAGAGGCAGAAATTTCATTCATCTCAAGGACTAAACGATGGTGCCCACTGGTGGCAATCAAGCATATTTTTAAAGGAAATTTTCAGAAAGAGGGTAGATACTTTACACCTAATACATAAAACATCCTTCTTAAAGAAATAAGTACCCAATGTGAGATAGTAAACATCAAAAATTTAATAATAAAAATTCAGCTTTAAATAAGAAATTTGGTGACACCTACCTAAGCTGCTGCATTCTTTAAGAGTTTTCTCTTGAAGATGTTCTAACCGTACTGTAAATAAAAGTCCAAGAAAAAGATATTTCACAGATAAAGAGAAAAAATCAAATCAAATCTATTTCTGGATTAGCTTAACTTACCTTGTAAAGCTGTTAGCCTTTCATTGGTGAAGTCATTATCAGCTTGCAAAGCTTCTATTTTTGCCTGGAGCTCCTGTTCTTTTTCTTCCATTTCATCTATTTTATGTTGTAATTCTTTTTTCTCAGCTTGTCCCTTCTGTTGGATTTCCTCTTGTTTTCCCTCTGCTACCTGTTGAAAAAGAGAAAGAAAATTCAGCTGTTTTAATAAAATCGAACCTTGATTTAAGAGGTCTAAAGCAGGACTGCTTTTATTCACATAAACTTCTAAGGAGAATATTCTATATTATAGAACATATCTGTAAATGTCAAAATGATGTCAAAAGTGATATGCACTGTGTCATGCCTCCATATCACCTAGGAGAGAAAAACTTGTAGCAAGCAAGCAAACTCAATACATACGGAGATTATAGGCGTCAAAATGAAAAACACATTTTTCAAGAGGGAAATAACAGTTTTCCCTGAAATTACTATTGTTCCAATTAGTTTGTAAGTTCTAAAATGTAACTTATTCTGAAATTTTAAACAACATTACGTTTAGCTAAAGGAATGATGATTACAAGCACTTTTTAAAATGACCTCTTTTTAACAAGTCCAATATTTAAAGCTATTATAGGTTAACCAATCACACAAAGGGGAGGTGTGCTCTGGTCTTCTCTAACAAATGTGTATCTTCTAGCCCCTCAATCCATGGTTTGAATTATATAAAGATGCATCTTCACAAACTCAGTTCTAACATTTTACAGCAGTGGTCCCCAACCTCTTTTTTTTTTTAAAAAGCATTTTAAAACATTTATTTATTTTTATTATTAATTAATTTATTTTTGGTTGCACCGGGTCTTAGTTGCAGCACGTGTGCTCCTTAGTTGCGGTCACGGGCTCCTTAGTTGTGGCATGCAAACTCTTAGTTGTGGCATGCATGTGGGATCTAGTTCCCTGACCAGGGATTGAACCTGCGTCCCCTGCATTGGAAGGTGGATTCTTAACCACTGTGCCACCAGGGAAGTCCCAGTCCCCAACCTTTTTGGCACCAGGGACCAGTTGTGTGGAAGACCATTTTTCAACAGATGGTGGGGGGTAGGGATGGTTCAGGTGGTAATGTGAGCAATGGGGAGAGGCAGATGAAGTTTCGCTCGCTCGCTCGCCCACCGCTCATCTCCTGCTGTGCCGCCCGGTTCCTAACAGGCCGCAGACCATTAGTGGTCTGCGGTGCGCGGGTTGGGGACCCCTGTTTTACAGGACCAACCTGGCATTACCTATGGTCTGGTCTGTCCTCATCCTAAATGTCCTATAGCTACAAGGAGATGCAGCTGAAGTGAGGCCAATGGCCTCCCTAGAAGGAATCACTCCAAGGTTCCCTCTGGGCTTGTACTAGCACTAACATAGCTGGACCCTGATTTTGGGACACCCGGAAGATAAGCAGATTCCAGTTTTTCAAGAGTCTAAATATCTTGGGTTTTGCTGACTCTCATCTATTTCCTGTTACATATTTTAAAATGCCTATTATGAAGTACTATTTATTTCCATCCAAAGGAAATATGTCAGCTTTTACAAACTTTCAGTTATCTGTGGTAAGGGGGTTTGGGCTAAATGGCACCTGATTTTTACTATGAATTTAAACCATTACCAAATTTTACATCAACAACTATTCAGCAATAACTAACTCTTAAGCTATCCAGTGTATTAGGGATAATTAATTTACATACTTCTAGGTTGAGAAATACCTACCTTTAATTTATCAGATAAATCTTTAATCTCATTAACTGCTCCATTATATTTATTGGCTAATTCTCTTAATTCTTCCTGAGTCCGTTCATTCATTTCTTTCAGGTGGGTACATTCATCTTCAGTATTACTCAGACTTCGCTGTAATTCAAATTTACAGGCAACTGATTTAGCATAAATGCACATTCTAAATTCAATTTATAAAAAGTGTAACTCTATGGGCTGTTCTAAATCAGCATCTACCCTGGACTTTATATAAAGCTGAGTTAAGCAACATAAGAATTTCAATTTACTTTAGGTACATGCTAAAACAGAAAATACCAAGAATTTGGAAAAACAAAAAACAGGGGGAGGGAGAAAAGGACAATACTTTATATAATTACACTTTTTTTTTTTTTTTTTGCGGTACGCGGGCCTCTCACTGTTGTGGCCTCTCCCGTTGCGGAGCACAGGTTCCGGACGCGCAGGCTCAGCGGCCATGGCTCACGAGCCCAGCCGCTCCGCGGCATGTGGGATCTTCCTGGACCGGGGCACAAACCCATGTCCCCTGCATCGGCAGGCGGACTCAACCACTGCGCCACCAGGGAGGCCCATAATTACACTTTTTAAAGGCCATTGGTTATGAGTTTTAGCCTTGAAAATATTTTAAGCCTATCAATTCTTGAAAACAAGTTTAATAATGTGCACAGAATCAATTTAATAAAATTAGAAGACAATTAGCAATTTTCTTTCCTTGCATGTCATATTAATGACATGACAGTGAATCAGTCACTTTGGGATGGGGCTATTATAGAAACTATCCTTATATTAAAATATGTTTACTATTTAGTTTACAATGGACATTTTAACTAAATCCAGTAACATGTAACTTCTGTGGTAATTTTCCAGTAGTTCAAAAGAATAACACGTATTATAAATTATGTTGTTTTAAAGCAATGAGAATCACATTTTGATTATTTCTAAAAGACCTAGAAAGGACCTCAGAGATAATTTCCCCTGTGAACCTCCAAAGAGGTTCCAAAGAGGCACAATTTTCCTCTCTGGAGGATAGGTAAAGTAAGAATAGTGGTGTTGCTCTCTACCTTACACTGACTATCCTCAACTGGAAGAAAAACAAAACTATGTGAAATGAGATCAATTCCCTGGCACATATCGTGGTCCATTGTGTGGAGGCTGAATCCTAACCAAAGTGCAAATAGTAAAATTCCCTGGTTAGGCTTTTATTTCCTCAACCACTGACTAGAGACCATAAGCACCAGAACTCACAGGGTTATGGTGAGAATTCCTGACAATGAAAACAGCATACTGCTCCTTCCCACCAGATAGACAGGAAAAATTTTCTAGCTATATAATAATACCCAAGTTTGAAATGTCCTGAAATGCTAGCACTTTTAGGCTAAAATTTTAAAATCATAGTACTATTTAGTATTTGTTAAATTTAAATACCTCAACTTCTGAAAGTTTTCTAACCACTTCAATTTTCTCCTGAAGAACCCGCCTCAGGGACTCTTTGGCTGTCGTCTCATAGTTGTGTTTATCCTCCTGTAATGCTATAAGTTCCTTCCGTAAACTATCTTCTGTTTGATTCTAGGATTAAAAAGTATTTATAATTATAGCCAAGTTAGTTTTTTTAAGTATTTTCCATTTAAAAAAACAACACATTGCGATGCTCTTTGAGTTCTATATTAAGGTACCTCCAAACACAAATTATGTTCACTCTGTATTAATTGAAGCTGTTATTTAAAAGCTGCATTAATAAATTATGCCTTCACAAATATATTAATTCACACTTCCAACAGAAAAAAAAAAGGTCGAAATAAACTGAAAATTTCTCTCAAGTATACAAAATGAATGAACTCTTCTATTTGCCATATTCTCTGAAAGCCACAACATTTACATTTATGGGCAAAAATAATCTCTTACCTCTAAAGGAGCCAAGCATTTTAAAATAATAACTAAACCAAATGGAATAACAGCACCCTGAGGAAAAAGCTGATTCCACATCTAAGGCAGGAAACGTAAAAGATGAGTATGGACTATCTTTTCTGATATGACAGCAGGAAGCTATCAAAGTCTACCAGGGTTCTACCAAAA